CAGTTTGGTCAGATCACTGGCATACGGAATACTTCCGTTTGGGGGTGGTGTGTGTTCCTGGTTGAACTTTTTACTTACATCCTTCTCTCTTTCCTGTTTCATTTTCAGACGGATTTTGATGTTGATCACTTTGTATCAGACTGCAGGAAACGTGTGCAATTGGAAGAGCTCAGAGAGGATCTGGAGCTCTATTACAAACTCCTTAAAACTGCCATGGTAGAACTCATAAATAAGGACTATGCAGATTTTGTTAATCTCTCAACAAATCTAGTAAGTCTTATGAAGTTTTCTGTTAAATTCAGACTTAACATGTTTTAGTGTGATATTTATTTTTCATATGAAAAGTATATGGCTTGTATTTTGAAGTTATTAGATTTAAGACATCTTAAACTGTGACCCCTTGCACTGAAACTGAAAGACTTACTGTACAATATAGCTATTATACAGAATTGCTGTTGGCCCATAATAAATGTTTTAGATATAAGCTTTTTGTCTTTAAAAAAATCAGTTTATTAGGAAGTTGGACTCAAGGCAGACTTTTTTTAAAACTGCTAATAGTTGTAAAATTGAAGGAAATATATCATTAAAATTGAATAGCAAAGATACAAATAAGGCTATTTGGAGAGATTCTTTTAGGAATCTTTAAATTTACTATACAGTCAACATATCTTTAAAAAAACCAACCCACTTGACTGAGCATTTTAATCATTTTAATATTAAAATGTCATAGTCACTGTGCATCCTGCTCTTTTATGCCAGTTCATCCAGGTTCCAATTATATGGGTTCAAAGAGTGAGCTATTTTTATTGGAACAACTTCCATAAATTGAAATTTTCTTTCTTTTTTGGCTTTTTGTGACAAACAGTCTGATACCTTTATCCCTGTATTTGAGGTAACATATTTTTGCTTTGTGCTTATAACTGGAGACTATAAAGGGAGGTATCATTGCTTAGTTCTCTTTTAGTGTCCTATAAAATTATAGGCTTTGTCAGTAATTCATATATGAACTTATCAAAAAAGTCATAAATGTTTTTATGGTAATTTCTTTAGGTTGGCATGGACAAGGCCCTTAATCAGCTTTCAGTACCCTTGGGACAGTTAAGGGAAGAAGTTATGGTATGCTCATTATACACAGCTTGGTAAAATTCAGCTCACTTTCATATGGTATATAGAATGTCTTTTATTTATGTTAATAACTATTATAACAAATTTTTCTTTGAAAATTGACTTCTTAGAGCGGTAGTAGGAGAGGGATGTTTTCAAGCAGTTGTAGTAGTAATTTTATGTTTTCTATATTGCTTTTTAACGAAGAGATAAAGGATTTCTTAACTGTGATAAATGAATGGACTCTTGCAAGACAAGTATAAGGTGAAATACTGAACTGTTTTAATATATGAGTAACTTAAAGGTTAATAAATCAGATGCAACACAGTCCCACTAAGGACTTTTTTGCTCAGTCCTGTGCTTTAACCATAAAAGATCACTCTCCTGAATGTTGGTCTTATACTGACTCTTCCACAGTGACTTGGTATTTAGTGAAGGACAATTTTCATTCATATTGGCAGCTGGTTCAAAGGGATGTTTGCTGCATAAATGTGCCTTCAAAATGTCATAGCCTTGATGTCTAAAACAGAAAATAGGTTCACAGTTAGCATAGAGAAAGATTTATTATGTGAAAAATGCTACTTATATCTGATTTATAACTTCAGTTTCAAGACGTAAAATCATATTGGTTTTGTTGCTTATTTCTGTGTGAAAGGTGGTTTGCTATCTGTAAGGTACTAAAAGACACTGCTTGAAATAATGATCCTTGTGGTGGCAGTACTTTAGGAGCAGTGTATACTTTCAGTTATTTAGTCTTACTTCAGTTTTTTTCACTTAGAAAGCAGTTGATGTACTGTAGCTTTTATTTCTCTTTTATTCTTATTAATCTGTCTCCTGTTTTAGGTTTCGATTTCTTAGTAAGTTTTTTTTAAACCTTAAGTGGGAAGCCAACTTTTCATACTGACTTTCTGTCTCACAGAGTCTTAAGTCATGTGTCAGTGAAGGAATTCAAGCAGTAGATGACCGAATGACTAAACAGGAAGATATTAGAAGAAAAAAGGTATAACAGACAAATGATGACTTTGGAAAGATCTTCATTAGGGCAACTTTTGGTTTTGCCATTAACCCAGGGAAAATGAAATTTTAAAAGCTTTAGACTGTCTAGATGCATACTGTACAGGATTTTGCACGTATAACGATTGAAGTTTTGGATGACAGATTCATTTTTACAGTGTCTAGTTGATAATAATTTTTTTTTTTTTACTTTATTTGCCCAAAACATCTATATTTGGTTAGGTTGGCCTTTTTAGTTACAGTTACTCTTGTTTCTGCTTGTAATAGTATATAAACTTGCTTATTATGAATGTAGTTGAAATACAGCAGTTTAATTTTTATATGGGGGAGCTGGAACTGATGTTTGTCGTTGTGCTTAACTTAGAAAAAAAATAAGTCAGGGATAAGAACAGCTGCTCTACATCTCTGAGAAACATTTGTTTGTGGGGTTTTATGAACTTATGTGAGCAATACTTCAACAGAGACATGACTGAAATATTAAGATGGAGGGAGAAAACTTACACCATTTTAAAAACAAACAAACAAACCCCAAAAAACTAAAAAACATGCAAAATATCTTCAGGGTCGTTAGGTCATGTAAATTGGGATTGAGGTCAGACATGAAAAAATCTTTCTTCAATTACAGATGTGTGTCCTGAGACTTATTCATGTTATTCAGTCTGTTGAGAAAATTGAGAAGATTCTACATTCCCAAGGCACTAAAGAATTATCCTCATTAGAGGGAAACAGGTAAAAAATATGTAATGTTCAGTTTTGTTGGTAATTGATGGGACTAATTTAATTTCATGGTATTGTTGTAGATGAGTTTACAAGCATTAGGATATGTCTTTAGAAATGTAGCTCTGATGGAATAAGTGACTGTTATTTTAGTATTTTCTCAGTTTCAGTCTTCTGCAAACTGGTCATTCACAGAACACGTAGCTCAGGCTCCTAAGTTCCAAATTAGTTGTAGGACTTTCAGTAAACGTGTCTTTTTTGAAGTTTGCATGCAATAATTATTTTATTTTTTCTTTCTTGGAAGTCATTAATCCTGTCTTGTCTGAAATACTCTCTACAATACAGTTTATTCCAATATCATTTGGAAGTAAAATGAGAAATAGCTTGTCTTATTTTCCCTGCTTACATGTAACTGAAAGGACTGCTGCAAGAGTAGCTTAAGGTAGGCAAGCCACACACATAATACTTCTGGTAGAAGGAAGGTTTGTGACAAATTCCACTCAGACTCTCGGGTTTTGTTTTTTAACAACTTCATGGAAAGTGTCCTCTGCCTTTGTCTTTGCTGAGGGATGGAAGATGTCTTTCAGCTGGGTCTGGAACTGATGTTCCAGCCACATACTTAAAATTGTTGACTGGGATACAAGTGCAAGTTAAGCTGGAGGAAAAGGACGATTTTGTGAACCTGTTTGAATGTGAGACTGTCTCTTCAGTTTAGTGTGATGGATCACATGGTAATGGGTTGGGGGAGGTAGACAGAAGAATAGGTTGATACCTCAAGGGACAAAGCATATGCAGATGTTTTCAGTCAGGGTGAGGCACTTTGCAGAATTATGTTTGGAAGCAAGATTGTACTGGAGTGGCTGAAAATTTGACTAATTATTGGGACTATATAGACCTGAGAAGCGTAGGACTATTTCTCTAGAGATAGGCGTCATTAGTTTTACCATATGATGGAACGGGGAAATAAGAAACAAATCTGGATGGTGAAGAGCACTTACTGCAGTTTCTGAGCTCTCTCAGACTGACTTTTCATGTGACAATAAGCAGCACTGCCATATAGAAAACAGTGCTTCATACTGTTGAGGCAAGATCTAATTACGTTCCTCTTTGCTTCTGCTTCGTCCACTTCATATATTAGTATCTCCAGAACAACTCTAATCATGTAGTCTGTTCCAGGTTATTGTTGCGTGATTGCAATAATTGCACTAGTACCTATCAGAATTCAAAATACTTAGATTAAACCACAAAAATTGAGGAAAGCATTAACTATCTGCTGCAGATCACAGTGAGTTGATTTGAAAGGTTTTAACTGTATTCTCATTTTGTATCATCTCTCTTCTAGCCCACTATTAACTGGACAGGTTTTAGAGAGAATTGCCACAGAATTTAATCAACTACAATTTCATGCAGTACAAAGCAAAGGAATGCCTCTTTTGGACAAAGTGAGACCAGTAAGTATTGCATGATAGCCAACTTAACACTTGTAGGATCAAGCAAAACCAATTAATTGGAAGAGAAATGCCTGTTTCCATGGAGTTTTACTGAATTAATTTATGGGGGAAAATCAGTTCAGGAGGTCATTTTTAATCAGTTGATTGTAAGTATTGCTTCTGCCAAGGGTTTATACTTTGTTTTCTAGCTTCTTTACGATGAATTACTTAGAATAAGAGTAGGAAATACAACAGACATTTTGTCAAGCCAGTTTGTGTGCTTACTGATGTTGAGGTCTAGTTCTAGAGATTTATGTTGGTTTTGTTAGCTGCTGTGTACAGACCAGAATATAAATGGAATGTGCCTGTAGAGTGGCTGGCTTGAATATATTCAAGTTTGTCTTTTGGTGATACTTGTTGCCTGACTCTGGCTATTTAGGCTGATATACTAATCTCCCTAATAGCCTATGTGTAATAACTAATGTAAAAGATGAATTGATGTTTTGGTGTGGGTTTTTTTCCTTCTAACCATTCATTGGACAGAGGGAACAAATGAAAACTGGTGCTTAAAGTTAGATATTGTGAATATGGAGATAGCGTAATGCTTTAAGCTGATTAGTATGGAGCTGTCATTCTTAATGGCTTTTGAGCTAGTGAGGTAGTTTGTCGTTCCAGTTTTTCACTATGTACGTATGCCTGTTGGCCATATAAACATGTTTCATCTCAAAACTTCCATGGTACCATGTTGATTCGTGGACAGTTTACAAGACTGTTCTGGCTACTGAGTTATGAAACATGGATAATAACAGGAGTAAGTGTGAGCATCAGAGTAGTATTTATGGTGGGAGAGCCTTTGTTACATTGTTTTGTGTCTTCCATAATAATACTTGCCAGGACTCCTGTTGTTGCTAAGGGTCATCAAATTGTAGGCTTCATGACTAGTCAGCAATTGGGTTACTGATTCTGTGGAATCATTTTAGGATGGATGGACACAACACAGCATGGAAAAGGGCAGAGCAGAAATTTGACTGGTTGAATTGGTAGTTCAACTGAGACAAAATGAATGTGTGTTGTTGGACTTGCTTCAAATACAGAGTTGTAAGGGACTATCTGGGGCCAGGAGTGTATCTGCAGGTAGTGTAGCAATGAATTGGATCTAGTGGAAGAGTTGTAGCAGGACATCTGGAAAAATGGTTAGCAAAAGGGAGAACGTATGTTGACTGAAGCAGCTGTCTGGCAGAAGCAAGAAGGAATCTAATGGCATGTCTTTTTTGGGGGGTTTGTGTTTGGGTTTTTTTGCCAGTGTCACACAATGTCTTTGGTTTGCAGTAATTTGAACAGTAGTGGTGGGAATACTGTTTAGTTTTTGACAGTGAGGGATAAATGCCACAGTTGTTATCCCTGGTGACTTATTGTAAATCTTTTGTGTATTATCCACCTAGTGGTTCAATTGAACAAGGAACAATTATTGACCTATTGCTTGAGGATAAAGGGGATCTTAGATGAGTTACTACATAATTTCCAACTTACAGAGGAAAATAAGTGCTTTTTAACCTTATTATAATAAATACTGTGTTAAATAGCATCAGTAACCCGTTAAGCTGGTGTTAATGTTCGTTTACTGCTGACAGTTATCGGAACTTGTGCACCTTTCAAATTAAAATGGAAAGCTGAATTAGGTATTTCGTGAAGAATTTGCTTCAGCAATGATGGCAAGGCTTTGCTTTTGTCTTTTTTTTTTTTACTATATTTTGTTTCTCTTCATAGCGTATAGCTGGAATAACAGCTATGTTGCAGCAGTCTCTGGAGGGGCTGCTCTTGGAAGGCCTTCAGACTTCAAATGTTGACATAATACGTCACTGTCTTCGCACTTATGCAACAATTGACAAAACACGAGATGCAGAGGCATTAGTTGGTCAAGTGCTTGTAAAACCTTATATAGATGAGGTAAGATAAAATCAAGAATCCTAGGAAAATGAATTGATTTGCACATATGCTTATTTTTCCTGTTAACCTCCAGCTTTCATTAAAGCTTCAAAATGCGTTTGTGGAGAGAGCAGGAGAACTGAGCCTTAATACAATGTCAATTTGTTGTGTTGTTCCTATTTAAGAAAAAAGGGTGAGGGAGTTCTCTATCTGCCTGTCACCAGTTTCAGGTTATATCCAGTTGGGATTCCTTTTCTTACCTACATTTTTCTTCAGGTGGGGAATCCAAAAAGCAAACCTTAAACCAAGCATGTGACTAGAGTGAAATACAATTTGCTCTGGACCAGGGTGCATCTGTGGGAATTGGATCAGATCTGGGATTTGCATTTCTCTGTGGCTGGCTCAGTAGCAGGCAAATGCAGCAAAAGTAATTCTTGGTGCAATGTCCTTTTCTTCCCATTGTGTGAAGAAGCAGTTTCTGCAGTTCCTAGCTGTGCCAGGACATTAGCAGGAACAAGTGTTAGTTTGAAAAGCATTTGCTGGTGTGTGGTGGGAAAAATGTGTCAGATGGACAGTTTCTCAATTCATGAGAAACCAATTTTAGTAGGCCATCAGTTTACAATACCAATTTGGACCAACCACAAAGTACTAATTGCACTTTCTGAAATTAGAAAATCAGAAAAAAATTCTGCTAATTCTCTTGACTGTGGAACTTGTGCTGCTACCTGTAAAAGGGCTCCTCACCTTGTAGCACTGTTTGTTTTTACCACTTCTTCTGGCCTGAACAGTTGGTGACTAGTCTACACTACTTTTTTTCTTTTTGCTGTGGTTGATGATAATGTAATTACCGCAAAAACAAGTTCAGTGGCAGTAACCTGCGACAGTGCTGTAACAGTCAGCAAGTCAGTCAGTTGTGCTCAGTTTTTCATGTATGTCAGCACACCTGCAGTTGCCACTGAAAACATTTTTAAGGGCCTACGATTGTATTATGGTAACTCTAGTTTCAAGCTTCAAGTAAAAATCTAAAAATTCCTTTTAATATATTTGATAGTCTGCTGTGTTTGAAATTACTTGCCCGGGTTTGTGCTGAATTAATGTTGCTATAATAAGACTTCTTTTGACCCTGTTCATCAGTGTGTTGGGAATTATGTCCAGGTCAGGTAACGATTCCATATCATTTCAGAGGATATTTGTTCCCTACTGAGATCTGAAAAAGTATTCTTTTACAATGTAATTGCTAGTGCTCACCAGCTGCCCTGCTGCCGGAAGTTTCCTTGGCTTTCGCTAGATTGTCAGAGCATTTCATAAATGCATTAAATTCAGTGTCCTTAAAGAAGAATTTAAACTGGGCCAGCACCAGGGCTATAAAGCTGTAGTTCTAAAACTAGCATTATGAATCTTGCAGCAGTATTAATTTTCCTGCTCCTGTGGGAAGGAAAAACTGTAAAGTACAAGAACTGCCTTGGTGATTGCAAATATATACTTGCTTGAATTTGTGCATGTTAGTAGAAGACAGAATAGATCTTCCCCTCATCATTGCCTCTGTAATACATAGCACTTTTCAGTGTCTTTGAATCCCAAGTTATTGATATATCTTTCCTTTTGCTGTAAAGATTTTTATTTTACTGCCATTACTCTTTAAATTGAGATACTTAATAACATTCTCTTTTCTCGGTAAACCATGAGACAGTCATGTTATGATGTAAGGTACTGTCTTTTGCTTTCAGGATATTTAAAACAATTTGTTCTCTACTGGTATTTTACAAAAAAATGAGACCACTTATAGTATAGAGTTAACATTTTTATTAAATGTGATATACATTTAATAATATACATTCACATACAGCAATGTGAACACTGTTTCTAAAAGTATTGAATATGTTTCTGTAGGCAGTAATGCAGTTGCTTTTGCTTATTCTGATGTGCCATTCTGAACATAAATGCAGAAGTGACGTAATGCGTTTGCTTCCTTTTTCATTTAGTGACCGTTTGCCACAGTGTTCCCAACCGAGGCAAGTGAAGAGTTAATCTGTATAACTTTTGCTGAAGGAATTGTTCTTCTAAATCAAGATAGGGGAAAGATACTACCTTTTTTCACTCAGTAATGAGATGGAATTGTTACCTTTCCCTTCCCTTTCCTGTGAAAGAATAGTATTTGTGATAACACCTGAGCTGTATGTCATTGCCAGTAGGATGTTTCTTTTCTGCTGTTGGGAAGGAAACATTTAAAATTATTCTGGTTTTGCTCTGTATGCATGCAGATTTATGTAAGCAAAGCCAGCTCCTGGTTTTTGGATAGGAGGGGGAGTCAAACGGTGGTGACCTCTCCTCTTAAGTACAGATGTCCTTTAGGTGCTTGCTAATGCTGTAGCAACTGCTACAGTGGAAGACAGGTCATCTTCCTCTCTGAGTTTTCTCAGTACCTATTCTTTCCCCACTCCTGTACCATTCCACTTCTTTTTGTAGCAAGAGGGAAAAGTGTTCAGACAGGTGGAAGAATGCCAAGAAATATAAGCTATTGTCTTTTCCTGTATTGTCCAACTACTGTCTGCCTTCTCTTTATGGCAGAGATTATCCCTTTTTCATTTAGTGGCCATTGGAGGTACTGTCCTGACAAACTCTTTTGCTAGCTGCGTTAAAGGCTTAGCACTGTCGCTGAAGATCTTGGCTATTGGTTTACCTTTATTTGGGATTGGACCAACAAGCTATAAATTTAGAATACATTTTTTACTTTATTCTGAGGTTTGATTAGCTTTTGCCAGTCATCTGTTTGACTTCACAGACTGCTTCAGGGGACAGTGATGTGTGGTGGGCCAGACACGGTGGCTAACATTTAAAAGCAAGGAGTTCGTTCCCATTCTGTGGCCAGTCTTGCCAGTTAGAGTGCTGCGTTAAAGGAAGTAATAATTCAAGCTGGCAAGTTATACTTGGAAACTATAATATAAAAAAGTAATATGCTGACTATCCCAGTATTTGGGGTTATAGTGTTAGGAGTTTTGAGTGAGTAGACTATGAGTCTTGCATTACGGTACTTCATATTCACTTTTCTGACATTTGATGTTGAACTCTTCCTGGCAGGTAATCGTGGAACAGTACGTTCAGTCTCATCCTAATGGCCTTCAGGCTATGTACAATAAACTATTGGACTTTGTTCCTCATCATTGCCGTCTCTTGCGTGAAGTAACAGGGGGAGCTATTTCGAGGTAAGTATCTTGGGGTTTCTTTTGCATACACTAAAGTTACAGCAAGTATCATGTATTTTTTAAATGTTTTGCATCATTAGCTTCCATGCACAAACGTCTTAGCTGGCCTTTCCTGAAGATTCATAGTCAAGTTTGATTTCTCTCTCCTGTCTGTGTTTTTCAAAACAAAACAGTAAACAAACTGCCTTGATGCTCTGGCCCAGACCTTCAGAGAAGGGAA